AAGTTGGACGTTTTCTCCTTCAATATTTTGCACTATTAATTTGCTTCAAACTGTTCTCACAGTCATCACAAAGGCAAAAACCGACATTGGCAAAGCCCCAAAATCATAAAGCCCAATTGACAAGATGTTGGTCCCCTCTGACCTCAGCACTGACCGGGACACAGCCAGGCAGAGGGAGGAAGTGGCTGTCTACCTGACCAGTCACCCGACACAGCCCCTTCTGTGGCCTGAGCCAGATCCACCGTGTGAGGCAGAGTGTGGCGACACCGAGCTGCTGGATCAAGTCCTACCTGAAGGCACTGGAACATTTCGATTATGGGCAAGAGCAGCCTGGGCAACAAAGTGAGATCCCACCTCTAAACAACAACAGCAAAACAACCAATTCCTTAAAAAAAATCTTAGGCTGGGCATGGTGGCTCACCCTGTAATCCCAGCACTCTGGGGGTCTCCTGATTGTGAGGGTGTTTCTAGGCTTTGCAACCAAACAAATAATCCCTGACAGAGGCCAGTGAACAGTCTTTGGAGAGCGTGTGTATGCGATACACACCCATTCCCCGTCTCTGTGAGCTTATTCACACTTACCGGGCCTCACCTTTCCTCTGGCTGATTTTCTTTACCTTGAAATGTAGCTTTTTTTCCTATTTCACTTCTTTCCACACGCCTGCCGCTGAAGCAGCTTAACGCCCTGTTGACACGACGTCTCCACGTTTATGTCGTGGAAGAACGTGTCTCTCAACTTGGGCTCTGCTTTTTGTGCCTTGGTTAATTAACTGGGCTGAATGTGCTCAGCCAGCCAGCGACCCAAAACCCTGCTTCTTCCCTAAGGGAGGGAGTGTGTCACCTGTCACCAAGACTGTCACCACGAGGTTCAGGAGCATGGGAATGCTTTCTGTTTTCCTTCCCTTTCACCCACAAAGGAGACTCTTTGCCAGTTTAGCTCCTGGAACATTTCTGATTTTAAAAATTAAAAAAACGGATCAGGAAGAATAGAGCGTTAAGGAAAGAAACGGAGCGTGTGAGCGGCGGAGGGTGGGGGCCCTGGGCGGGGAGTCGCCCTGTGGGTTCAGGCTGGAGAATGATTGCATGGTTTCAGCTGTGAGAGTGTTCGGTGCATCTCCCTGGGGAAGGAAGGAAGGGTCAGAGAGTGACTTGGAGTTATCCCCTTTCAGTTTGCAGGTAAAATGAGGGGCCCATTTAAAGTTACCATGTGACAGCTAAGTTATGCCTTTTTAAAAGATATATTATTTTGAGATGGCGTCTCACTCTGTCGCCCAGGCTGGAGTACAATGATTCTATCTCGGCTCACTGCAACTTCCGTCTTCCGGGTTCAAGCAATTCCCCTGCCTCAGTCTCCTGAGTAGCTGGGACTGCGGGAACGAGCCACCATGCCCTGCTAATTTTTTATATTTTTAGTAGAGATGGGATTTCACCATGCTGGCCAGGCTGTTCTCGAACCCCTGACCTCACAGTCCTGCTGTCTCGGCCTCCCAGAGTGCTGGGATTATACGCGTGAGCCACCGAGCTTGGCCCTGAATTGTGCCCTTTTGAAGGGACCTCGGCAAGCTCGGACTGCCATGGGGTCTAGAGCTTATTTGGGTAACTTTACATCAACGAGAAAATCTATCTGGGGAAATTCACACCCACCATGGCACTTACTCAACTCAGGCTGCAGAGGGTGTGAGGAGTCACTGACCTCTGACCCCCTTGGTGCTTCTTTTCTGTTTCTCTTCTGCGGACTGTGAGAGAGACACCACACCCCCATGTACACCCCCTGCCCCAGGGCCCACTTCATAGCACCGGGCTCCCAGGCACGTAGCGTGCAGTAAATCACCACAGGTATTGCTGGAATAAAGGCTCTTCACCAGGCGGTCTGGGGAGCCCAGGATTCTGCATTTCTTTTCTTTTCTGAGACAGGCTCTTGCTGTGTTGCCCAGGCTGGAGTGCAGTGGTATGATCACAGCTCACTGCAGCCTCGACCCGATGGCTTCCGTGATCCTCCCACCTCAGCCTCGCAGAGGGCTGGGTTACAGGCATGAGCCACACACCTGTAATCCCTTTTGATTTTAGATTCTTGAATTGTACGTGTTCTGTTCAGCATCCCTCATCTGAAAATCCAAACTCCGAAATGCAAAATCTTCCAGTGGGCATTTCCTGTGAGCTCACGCCACTGCTCAAAATGGTTCAGATTTCGGAGCGCTCTGGGTTTGGACTTCTCATGAGGGCGCTCTGCCTGTACAGGCCAGGAACCCTCCCAGCTGCTGGGGGAGGAGTCGTTGAAAACCAGAGGACACATCCCCGCTGCCTCAGATTGCTGTGCGGACAGGGTGGACGGGAAGCAAAGGTGTACATGAGACCACACCAGGCGCACGAGATCCCGGCTCGGGCAGGAGCGGAAGGGCTGGCGGCGGGAGAGCCAGGCGTCTGCAGCACAGCGGGAGGCCAGCGGGGAAGCTGGGCAGGCCCCCAGTCTCTGCAGGCCCCGACCCGGGCTTTGCCCTGAGAGCAGGAAGGCGCTGTGGGTGTCAGCACGAGGCGTTGGTTTTGGCTCCAGCTGGGCAGGACGCTGGGCCACGGGAGGAGGGGACGGGTCGAGCCGTTCTGCCATGGGGTGTTGACGCAGGTGCAGTGGGGAAACCCCAGTGTGGTGGGCTCCCCGAGCTGCGCAGACCCAGAGGTGCCGCCCTCCAGCGCACAGGGCTGGCCCGGCCGTGGTTTCTCGGCCTCAACCCAGAGAAAGTCTCCTGAATGCCCAGCAGGAACGCCTTCTGCGTCCACCCTAGGGGCTGCCTGAAGCTCTGGGTGCCTGCTGGGCTCCGGCTGCTCCTCCTGGAACCAGTGGGCGACCCGTCACCTTAGACGCCCTGTGCCCCTGCTGTGTGGCATCTGCCCCCAACTGACTTGACCACACACAGTTGATGTTTCTGCAGAGTTTGGGAAAATGAGATTTTTCACTGTACTGGGTCAAGACCTGTCCCACTCAGTGCGTTCCCCATGTGCTTCCAGTGTCTCTGTGGGAGGAGGGGTGCCAAGAAGCTGGAGCTACCTGTGGGGAAGGTGAGTCAGGGAAGCTTTTCCCTGGTATTGCTGGGCTCACCCCAAGGGGACGGCCACCACACCCCGGTTCACCCCCAATGGGATGGCACCTGTGCCCGGCTCACCCCCAATAGGACAGCCCCCACATCCCAGCTCACCCCCACAGGGACACCCCCTGCCCGCCTCACCCACCTGACACGTCCTGCTGGCGGCGGGCGATCTGCTTGAAGGTTCCGGACCCAGGCGCGGGGGTGTGGACGGCGTCAGGGAGGTGTGTGTGGAAAATTCCTTTCTCAGCAGCTTCTCATCAGGAAGGAGCTTTGCTTTCACTTCTTACGGGAATCGCACGATGGCAGCTGTGTCTGTCGCCCACACACGCCCAGGCAGGGTCACCCCTGGGCCACGCATATCCACAGCCCCATCGTGGGAAGACTGAGTTGACTTTCCACATCCCATAGAAAACGTCACCAAATTGCTGTTTCGTCAACACGACCCAAGACTGTGAAGTCAGGAACGGTGGCTGACGCGCCGCAGGGCCCCGTCCGTGCTGTCCGTGTGAGCGTCCCATGCGCAGTGTGCTGTGTCCTCGGCAGGCCTGGTTCAGGCCTAACGCCCCGTTCGTGATCTCACACGCCTTGTCTGAAGGAAGTCACCCACACTGGCAACTTCAGGCTGTGCCACGGGTCCTCCCAGGGGAGCCGCAGACGCCCTCGGACCCACCCCCCGCCCGCTCCACTGCCGCAGAGCCCGGGTGCTGCCCAGGCGGGTGTCCGCTGCGGGAAGAGTTCTTGGCCTGAACCCGGATCCCCCCAGGGGAGGAAGGACCCGGAAGCTCAGCTGGCCTGGGGAAGGGCCTGTGTGCCAGGGGCTGCCTGCGACAGGGAAGGGGAGGCAGCGCGTTCCCGTCTGGAGCCACTCTCACCTGCGGCCACCATGGGAGGTGACCACACCCCAGCCTCGCCTCCCACAGTGAGGCCTCTGCCTCCCCAGGCTTCCCCGGAGGCCTGTGTGGCGCTGAACGGCAGACGCCCCCTCTCCCTGGCTCCAGATTTTATGCCGGTTACTCAGAAGACACAGAGGAGGTGACACGCGTGCTCGTTCAGCCGGAGCCTTTATTCACTTCGCACCGCCGGCTGCTCTTCGCCACTCAATTCCACAGACTTCCGAGCCCCAGGGAGAGCAGCACGAACCCAAGCGAAGCTTCCACGGGAACCACCCCCGGCACACCGCGGTCCAGCGTGAAGGTTCCAGGGCCCAGGCCGGGTCCTCGCACCCAGGTTCGAGCTCAGTCACTAAAGGAGAAGCCGGAGCTGAGGAACCCGGGCAGGGGGACGGGGCCTGGAGCAGCCACGGAAGGAGGAAGTGAGCCTGGCCACAGCATCTCCCATGCCAGCCCCGTGGGGGCGGGACAGCACCCGGAGGCCGACACCCTCCCTCAGCTCCCACCCGAGCGGGACGCCTGAGAGCTCTGCACGCGCCTGCTGCTGCCCCAGCACCCACTACAGGGCCTGCTGGGACCTGAGGGCCGAAAGAAAGGGTCTGGGGCCTGTCACCCCAGCGGGGAGCTCTGGGCTGCAGCAAACACACACTCACGCCCCCACAGCGTTTTCACTACTGGCAACCTGGCCTTGCCCTGACCCCACGGCTCCACACAGCGTGTCCCATGGATTTCCCCTCAGGCTCAGCCAAGGTCAGGGGAGGGAGGGGAGAAGCTGGGCTGGTCCTCCTCCGAGGCTGGTGAGGCTGTTCCCTCTCCAGCCGAAGACATCCAACCCCAGCTTCCACGGGGGCTGGTCCCAGGTCTCCTCTCCACGGCCCCACGGGCTCTGATGGTCTCCGACCCAGTGCCCACACCCTGCGGAGTAGTGCCCAGCCCAGGAGCCTTCTATGAGATGGACGGTGAGGCGAGGCCTCTCGAAGAGGGTGCCCGGGTGCTCTGCCCTCACCGTGGGTTCAGAGCCCACCTCTCACGGCTGTGGTCCCGGCCTGGTCGCTGTGGTGCCCTCGACGAAGCTGAGCCTCCCACGCAGACTCAGCAGGGGCAGGCACTGGGCCAGGATCCCGGAGCGGCGGATGCAGCGATGGGGGCTGTCCTCCCTCAGCTGGATGCAGCACTGGCTGTTACACTCCCTGTGGTTGCCGCAGAAGTCGCCGTCTGGCTGGGGATGCCAGCAGGCAGAGGCCGTGGAGAGGAGCCGTCTCCAGTGCCCCCACCCTCCATCTGCCCGGGTGCCTGCAGCTCACCGGCCCTCATCCACCCTCCACCCCCCCGGTGCCCACAGCTCACCCGCCCTCACCCCCACCGGTGCCCACAGCTCACCCGCCCTCCACTCCCACCGGTGCCCGCAGCTCACCTGCCCTCACCCCCCC